GTTTGTATAACAGATATTGCGAGTGTTGATTATACTGGGTATCACTGACGCGGCTTCACAGCTCGGTCAATCGATACTGCAGTTCCTTGGCTGCTCTCATCTCGTTGCGTAGTCCTGTTTGTTCAGTGTTGTTTTGCGAGTTGTTCATGGATTGTAACACTAGTGTACCACTGATTGTAACAGTAGGATCGTAACATTGGATCACCAGCCTTGAGAGAGCCAATGAGGCAGCATCAGCACGTAAACAACGTAAGAGAAACCGTATACAGAAGCAAGGGGTCTTAACAAAAGGAGCTGGCAAGGATATACTTGCTCAATCTGAGGCTGATCAGCAGACTGCTCTTGAGAGGTGTCAGGGAGGAGAGGGATCAGGCTGCAGCCGCCAGGCTCTGGCGCGCTGCACAAAGTGTAGAAAGACTGGCCATAACTCATGTACATGCAAAAAGGATACTGTAGATACTAGTTAACCTGCTACACTAATATCTATATATTATCTTATAATGTGGTTGAGTTGCACACCTGTAAAGGCATGCAAAGTGTCACGGGTATTTCCCCTTACATCGCAGCAGCTCTTGTCGGACCCTTGACTCCGCCGCATTCTCGGTGTGACCGTTAAAATCAAAAGCCGTCAACCGTGTTGAACTAGTATGTTTGCCATTGTAGTCGGTTATGGGGCCTGGCACACACATCTGCGACCGGTAGAGGTAACAGTTCGGATTCATTCGAGGCCATCCGCTTTCCTAGCCGACCGTCCTCTTGACCTACATGTGATACGCCAGGAGAAAAGCGCGCTGGCTCGCTTGGTGTTATGCTGGCCGCAGAAATGCTGCAACTATCAGAGTTTGATGTCTCGTTGGCTGTGCGCTAAATTAGACGCCGCCAGACTGCACTCTGTGATCGGCACTTACCACAGCTGTCCATATCAAATATGAAAGGAGTGAATGTGCCAGTATCGCTTAACTCCTCATGCAAGTCCTGCCAGTAACCTCCATTGCTGGTAAATTGGCAATCGACGTCTGGGTAGGATTGCGGCTTTGCGATATCATAGTCGATGAGCGTCAGACTGCAGTCCTCTGGGATGGCAGCTTTTTCCGTAATGAACGTTCGGTCCGCTATCGATCGTTGAGTAGGATTTCACCCTTGTTGTAGCGAACACACCTGAAGTGCTGACAGTTGCTAAGACTGCGATGGAACTTGCTGTTGTGTTGTTTTCCCCAGTCTCTGCGAGGTGCGTTCCTTCCTCCACGACGGGAGTTTTGTCACTGACTTCGTGTGGACCTTTGTCTTGATCGTGTGCAGCAGCGCCAGCATGAATGACTGCGTCGGCAGTTTCACGTCAGTCAAGACTCAAAAAGCTGTTAGACGAACACTTCCACTTTACCCTCTCGCAGGTTCTAAGAGAGAAGTGGTGTCTTCGGCCTCTGCACAGTTTTCGAGTGATTCCCCGTCTCCGGACTTGGGTTGGAATGCTTTCTTCTTCATCTTCCGGTTTGCTTTGGTGGACTTTGACCCAGCCGAGTTTGAGGTTACAGTGGACGAACCTCACTTGTGTGTTCGCACAAGACAGTGAAGAAAGAGTGGGTTTGAAGAAAGACATCTTGAAAATTTTAGAAGCTTTCGTGCCATACGAACAAACTTTTGGCCTAGTACTGTAATTGCGGCGTAGTTGTCGGTGTTGGCAATTGTCAGCCTCAATGTGGAAGCACGACATGAGTCGCGACGATGATCCTTCGGGCCTGATGCGAGTCTTTTGTATCTCCAGATGAGGCTGGCCAGCTCACCGTCTTGTGGTTGTCAAGTCATGATGATTGCTCGAGGCAGTCGCGTACCTGCAAGCGTGAAAGCACGCTAACCCTAGAATGGTCTTAGCGCGTGTTGTTTGATGAGACCCCGGATTTCGGGAAGGCAGGATCGAGAGCTTTCCATGGTTGTCTTTCACTTGCACCAAACGGCAAATTCTCGAATGTTTCCAGGCTACTGTTTAAGCCTCTTGAGTCACATATATTGACAATTTACCACTCTCGTTACACTCAACAATCCCACACGCTCGCTGCGCAACTCACGACTACCCCGCCATGGACGCCGCTCGTAAAGGCGAAGCTGCGCTCAGCGCCAGCAACTACGACGAAGCTATTCAGCACTTCACCGACGCTCTCAAGTCGAATCCAGGCGCCGTGAAGTACTATATCAACCGCTGTACAGCTTATCAGCGCATTAAGAAGTACACCGAGGCGCTCGCTGACGCCGAAATCGCCGTCGTCCTCGCCCACAAACGGGCCACCCGAGAGCTCATCAAAGATGCCCAATTTCGCCGCGCACAGCAGCTCTGGTTCCTCGAACGGTATGCCGACGCTGAGTACGTTCTCAGGATTGTGAAGAAGCTTGACGAGAAGGAGAAGACACTGCCCATCTGGGAGTTGAAGGTCGCAAAGAAGCTACAAGACATGCCAGAGGGTGATGAGAAGAGGAAGGTTACTGTTAAGGACGTCCCTGATGTGGAAGTCACTAGTGCGTCACAAGAGACATCAACGACCAAGAAGACAGAAGCACCCGCGGCAGCGCCCAAGCCAGTCGTGCCTACACCTGCCAACAAGATTAAGGATGATTGGTACCAGAGCACCGATACAGTCACAGTTAACATCCTGGCAAAGGGCGCGCCGAAGGACAAAGTCACCGTCGACTTCGACAAGGACTCTTTCTCAGTATCCTTCCCTGTCGAGGGCTCGGACGCCGAGTACAACTTCAATATCGATCCTCTCTATGCACCGATCGACCCCACAGAGTCCAGGTTCCGCGTCACACCGAATAAAGTCGAGGTTACATTGAAGAAGGCATCACCAGGTGCAAAGTGGAAGACACTAGAGGGCGATCGCCAAGTGGAAGCAGCTGAAGGTTCCACAAGCACTATCCCTCAGCACATCCTCAGCGGGAAGCCAGCCCAGGACTCCGCCCCCGCCTACCCCACATCATCCAAGTCCGGCGCTAAGAACTGGGACAAACTTGCTGCAGAAGATCTGGACGACAAAGACGAGATCGAGGGCGACGAGACTTCGCACTTCTTCAAGAAGCTCTACGGCGGCGCCACACCGGATCAGCAGCGCGCCATGATGAAGTCCTACCAAGAGAGCGGTGGCACAGTGCTCAGCACAGACTGGAGCAACGTAGGGGGTAAGACTGTTGTGCCCGAACCTCCTGAGGGCATGGAAGCAAAGAAGTACTAGAAGGAATTCATGTCTCCTGCTTCGCGAAGCCCGGTGTCGAAATTCCAGCTTCGAGACGTGTGTTCCAAGCACCAAGTTATATCCTGATAATAGTACGCTGCACAAATACTTTAACGAAGCTGGCGAAGTGGTTGACTGCTGGTGTAAGGACGGTTAGAAGCATGCTATACGCCTTCAAGCAAACGCTCATCCTCGCTCTGACGCTGTGCCTTCTGGATCTTCTCATGCGGCCAACACTGCTCCTAGTTCTTTACCCGCGTCCTCAAAAAAAGCATATTTCTCCGGGTACTATCGAGGCGCGCGCATCGAAAAATGGTTGAATGGACAGAGGCACTGATAGTGTTCTCACATACATAGCATAGCGTCACGGTTTACGTTGAAGCATGGTGTTATGGGGAGCTTCTGAAGTAGTTCAACGATATCAGCTGCCTTTCATATGCACTCCGCTATGATCGGATCTGCGATTTTATTTCTTCAGATTTGTGGACTTTGTTATGGTAGATATTACCATGGCTTACTCTAGCCGGTAGCATGAAGACAAGCGTAGGCCACTAGCCTTGACCTTGCTCTGCATTTCCTCGCCCTCTGCTCGTTGCATTCCCTCTGCCACGATGCCTTGCAGTGCCCCGGGGTGCATCAGGACGCGGTCTTGGATGTGCATCCGAGCGATGCGTCCGCACCGGACTGCGCGGTCGATACGACTGCCCTCTCTGCACACCCTCATGTCCCCTTTGCGCACCTACATGCCCTCGCTGACCGTCCATCCCTCTTCTGCCTCTATTGCCATGCTGTCCACCCCTCGCCTCCTGCCGCCTCGGTTTCGCATTTCTCATCCAATGCCTCTCAAAAAACTGCCTCTGCACCACATTCCGCTTTTCCAACATTTCGTGCAATGTAATCGGGCCCCTCGGATCCTCCCTCACCAAGATCCCCGCCTTCACCGGACCCTGCTGCGTCCCCAACGTTTTTTTCAGCATCGTCAACAACCCGACAAGCTTCTGCAGATCCGTCTGATTCTTCTCCTCCCACCTCTTCACACGCTCCGTCGCATCTTCCTGCTTGATGTACAGGATCTTGCCTGTCCCGGGCTCGTAGCGACCGGTGTAGAGGTGCGTCGTGCGCCCGAACCAGAGCTGGTCTTGGCAGGACACGAGAGATTGGCCTTCTTCGCGCGGTTTTTCGACTTGGGTTTTTAGCTCGAGGATTTGGTGGCCGGGGATCAGATGGCCTTTTTGTAGCACGCGGAAAGGGGCACGGTAGGTAAAGCGTGGGCGTTCCATCAAATCAGGTTCTGTGGGTACAGGAGGGATGACGGCTGAGGCTTCAGATGTGGAGAACGTGTCGGGCGCGGTTTCGACGTAGGCGTCGGCTTCGAAGCGGCACACGACGTTGAGCGGACCCATGCGATATGTGATTGCGCGGTAGTGTGATGTTGCGTCGATCATGTCTGGGTTGGGGGTCGTGAAGTGCTTTTCGAAGTTGAAGCCGTAGCTTTTCCCGTCGCTGCGGCGCCAGAATCCATCTTCGCGGCGGACGATGACGAGCGTGCCGAAGATCATGTATAAGTCTAGTCTCAATGGGCCGACGGTTTTGCCTTGGACGAACTCGAGGAGTACGCGCAGATTGTTGCGGTCGGCAAGGATGTCGATGTTGTTGAATGCGTAGTCTGGATTCATGAGGGTCATGGCGTGGAAGACGGCTGAAAAAGGATCACGCGGTTGGCGCACGTAGTTGTAGTCCGTGGGGTGGAAGCCTGCGTCTCCTGGGACATTGTAGGGGATTGCTTGTGGTGTCCATTTCGAGGGACCGCCAGGGACGAAAATGGTGTTACTGCCATCGACAGCGCTGGACCAGTTATAGGCGCACAATATCTCAGGGTCGTGGTCCCAGGTCACCTTCGAATCGTAGGGTTGAACATCAGATGGTGAGATGGTGTGGAGAACAGGTCCACGATCCTTGGACAGCACACGGGCCTTGCGTTCTTTCTTCCTTTTCTGCGCTGCTGTCAAGGCTTTGGGCAACGGCTTCGGGATGTCTAGTTCTCCTTCCTCGGAGTCCGTTGCGATCTCAACATCATCATCTTCATCTTCCTCTTCCTCACCTGGACTGGTTTCCTCGGCGGGTGGAACATCTTGTACTTGCGTATTCCCCAGGCTGGCTGCTAATGTTGGGTTAATGAGGCTGAGCAGATTCGTCTCTTGCTGTGTACGTTGTCGCTTTGTCTCAGGTTCACCATGCCCTATTGGTACTCCACCTCCATAATTTGGACCTAGGATTTGTACTCAGGTTTGAAAGATCGAAAGCGCAGTGCAAGTCGTACCCATTGTATTTTGCATCGCCCCAAATCTCTTGCGTGCAGACACAGGTAGCGCCTTATTACCTTCCCGATCCACCTGCGCGAGCCTGCGTCTGAGCCTCTGCACTTTGTTTTAAAGTGAAGATTTACAATGACGAAGGCTGCTGCGAGGCTAAGTACGGGTGGATAAGTTGCTGCGTGGCTGTAGACAGGAACGGCGACGTCACCACTATGGAGCTGGCTACGAAGTGAAATAAGTAGTGACAGGGTAAAACATATAACTCAAACTGCATTTGAGATTAACGAATGTTCGGTGATTCTTCGATGAGGTGAAGCAAGTCAATCTCTCGGAAAAAGAGAAAGAACGGTCGTGAATGAAGGTAAAGCTTAAAATTAGCGCACGCCACTCATTGGTCAGTCTCATTGGTCCCACATCTGCACACTCGCGACTGCCATCGAGCTGAGTGATGGTCAATACATTCAATCTTCGCATAATTCGATGAGTCAGAAACGGTCGATGTTGAGAGATCTAGGTAAGTGTTGTGTTGACTAACGTCGTGATCCGCATTCGCCAAGGGACCGAACGAACTGTCAGTGGAGCACCTGGGCAGCTTCCCCACACACGTCATGCTATTGATCGCCACAAGCCGTACAACAATGCAGCAATTCATGGTGATAATCAATCATATTGTGAAAAGCAGTGCAACGAAGAAGCTAGACTTCTCAAATGCTCACTCGAGGAATATGTACTGAAAGACTCCAAGTTTCTACATTCATACGCCATATCAATCACGCCTCTAGACAGAATATCATCAGAACCATGGCTTTCGGATCGAGAGTTTATCGTGAGGCATCTTAACAGCCTCAGTACTACGTCAAGGGCTTCACAGCGGAAAGCGCGCAGAAAACGACTGAACTGCTGCAGTTCAATCATGAGATACACTACATCTTCTTATGCTCTTCGCTCTCGGCGCCACATCAAAAGAGATCCAGCAAGGCTACGACACTAATGTCTCCTATCAACGGTCGCCCGAGCCCCTGAAGGACTCAATCGTTGATGACATGCACAAGCCAGTCCGTTCCAAGACCTATCTTGGGAAGGAACAATATTACCACGACTTTCTCGTCTTCTTCCAGAAAAAGATTGATGCAAAGGGCTGACAGGAGGTACTTGACGAATATGTCTTCGCGCGGGATGAACGTGCAGACGATCTGCTGGCTCGTTTGCACACTGGCTTTCTGCACCCAACCGTCCATACTGGGTTCGGTATTGAGTTTTAACAACCTACGATCATTACAAAAGGGCTGGCGCAGGCATGTGTACACGAAAAGTGGATAAATCACTGTTCTTTGGAGTTGAAGACGCAACCGAGAAGAACAGAGGCAAGGATGATAGGAAGACAATCGTACAATTGCTCGAGGAAGTAAAGAAAGACGAGGAGTTGAGTAATGCCGCGCACTGGGAAGATAGTAACAAGATCCGCGATGGCATCATGAAAAGGGCACTTGAGAAGATGGTTGCAATCACAAGTTAGGAACACGATCCGGGAGGACGACGATCTGGAGCAGAAGACAGCTGAGATGATCAACGCCGCAGGTAAGCCAAACCTTGCCTTGCAAACAGCAGAACTAAAACCCTGTGCAGTGTACTTCACAGCCGCAGCCCAGCGTCCACCTCACCAAGTCAAATTCGACTTCTACTACATGCACTGCGTCACCTCGTCCATCTTCTTCTCGAACTTCCTCTCCCCTGCCAACACGTTCCTCGCACCCGCAGCGAAACGCCGCCTACTAGAGTGGAAAGTCTGGAACAACATCGTCATGTATGCATCACGACACTCACCAGCCCTTCTCCTCTCCGAGATTACAGAGTATACGCCAAAAGAAGACTCAGACTGGGACAAGATCATCTTGCGGGTAAACAAAACGGAAGACGACGGTCACGCAAGCAAAGCCATCAGTGCACTAGCCAATGGCCAAAAATCATGTCAGCCGTACGAGGATAAGCCTGGTTTCGTCATCAAGGGTGATGCGTGGAGGAAGGTAGGACACATACACATGGCTATCGACTCTGTGGAGGCGGGGGAGCTGTGGGTTTGATCAGGCGTGGGAGGTTGTGCCGGCGAGAGACGGGGCGAAGTTGTGAGCTTGCTCGAGGGGCGGGAGAGAAGTGAGGGGGCTGGGAGCTGGGAGCTAGAAAGTGGACGAGTGGGCGCAGGAAGCGCGGTATGCAAGGTATAGACGTTCCGCAAACTGATGTGTGCCGGGGATCAGGCCTTTGATATGCGATGCAGCGGATAAGCAGATAGTTCTTATGTAGGTAGCTGTATTGAGGAGGCTGATGTTGTACGACAGCAAGTCGACTTCCTCGCTTCGTACTCGAGCACCACTCGTAAAGGTGACAAGTATTTTTGAACCACCGCTCGCTTTGTGAGACAGTCAGAAGTGCTGCTAACATGCATACCTGTTGCACCTCTACCGTACTACATGACAGCGTGCCGCGCATGTGCAGACCACTACTTTGGGTCTCAGCTCCTGGTCAGACCCGAAGCACAGTTGTGTCAACGATCTGTAATGCTGAGATCGCGTACAGCTGGAACTGCGCACCGGTATGCAGTCGCCAGTATGTAGAAGATTGAGGTGTTGGGTATAGTTCTGACTCTCGTATCGATATTTACATGAGTCTTGACAAGACCCCCAAATCGCACCGCATATTGATTTGCAGGCGAAGCTTTCTACACCAGTTCAACCGGCCAATCAAACATGGTTTGTACCTGAGCACCGCCAGGATTCCGAATGCAGGTCCGCCGTGCATAAACAGTGGATCCTGCGGACGGCCGAAAGTAAATTAAATCGCGCTGCTGGGGGATCTGACAAGAAGAACCAGGACGATGCTTACGAGTGTTTCCTCCTTTTGGTTTGTTTCTTGCTCTAGCGAGTCGTGTGCTGCGTTGCAACATTTCCAGAACAGTGAGCTGCGCCGGGCCGAGCTGACGTGTGAAGACGTTGAGTACGAAGCCAATCATACCCCGTCTTCGCTACACCTCCACACGAAGGGTGGCGGCTACAAGCGCTGGACCCTCACCTCGTGTGCTTCCAATTTCAGCAGACGGCGTCAAGCCTATCGATAAGTTTGCTGCCTCACCGGCGGCTGGGACGATTTGCCATGCTCAGCGGTCACAACTGCGGTCTGCTGTGCACGAGGCCACAAGACCCAAACCAACCAAAACTCAACGCTTCGCAGGACGCCGTGCTTTATTGTGTTACACGGGCAGCGCCGCGCTGCCGCGTCGTCAGGCCCTCCTGGAGAGCTTCGGCGCAATCTCGTTAATGACAGACGGTTGGTTACGTGGAGGATGATATGCCTGGGGATAATGTCTCAATTAGGCGGGAGCGTACGTTGCTCACCGACTCGTCAACCACAGTGGCGAATGACCAGCAGCACAACATCAACAATCGCATCAACATCAACATGGTGCAGAGTTGGCATGGTGCACAGGTAGGGAGAATACAATCACGATTGCCCCTCGGCGCCATACCCGAGCTGCAATTGCGATGCGCCGTAAAAGCGGAGCCGATGACGCTCGCCGTCCCACGACGAGTATTTCGAGCCGCTGGAGATTGCGATGCGGCGCGCACGGAGTGTACCCCAAGTTGGGTGCCGGCTTCTTCACGATCTGTGCGACAGCCGCCCGAGTGCGCGGGTAAGAGCTGCTGGAAATGATGAGGATGCGCTGGGCTGTGAGTGACGGACTGGTGAAGTGCAGCGGTGCCTGAGGACTGGATAACCTCAACGCCGTCACAGATTGCGGCGCACCGCCATACTGAACAGCGACTGGCTTGCAAGGCTGCACGCGTGCAACCGTCCCTGATTCACTGCAGCTAACCTGGTCTCCTTACTGACATGTTTCAGCTTACCGTTTGTGCGCTAGCGTCTGGCGAGCATGGTCCCCCTAGCTAACATGACCACTCCCACCAGCGGGGCTCTCTAGGGTTTCACGTCCCTGATCTGAGCATTCCTTCATTTCTCCTAGAATACAACCCAGGCCCTGGTAATATCCGTTCGTTTCCCCTCTCTCCCCTTCCTTCTTTTGTTCGCCCTTGCGGCTCGTCATTCTTTTGCCTTTGGCTGTCTGTCGCTCCTTTGCAACACCCACACTCGCTATCAATACCATCGACACTCTTTTCTGTGCAGACTGAATCAAGCAACAAGCCAACAGATTGGAAGTCCTGGCGGCTAAGGGTAGGATTCATTCACTTTGAACGTTCACCGTCACCACCCATCACGTCTGCCAAAGTATCCCTCACTGGACCGCCAATTGATATCCGCTCGTCACACTCGAACAGCGAAAGCAGCAAACGATATAAGCGAGCGCAAAGTGATCGTCCTCGATAATCAAGCGCCACCAAGGACCGCATTTCTTCGACTATACCCCTGATATCACCAACCGTACATATCAGCCATGAAGTCCACGACTACCCTCTCCGTCGCTGCGGCGCTCCTCTCTGGTTCCGCTGAGGCTTTCTGGCGCATGCCCTGTTATTCCAGGACTGCTTTCCTCCGTCTCGATCCCATTGTCGACCCGGGTGTCGTCTCCTCCCACGGCCACGTCATTCACGGTGGTAGCAGTAAGTTTATACGACCCGCAATTTTGTTTCGACCCACTGCATGAGCGAGAGTGCTATTCTGGGGTTGCTTGGATGCGTATAACCCAGGGCATCCTTGATTACATTCGGTCCAAGTTTCGAGGCAGCCTCAGCCAGACGTCGGTTCATGGCTAAAAGCGAGTACTAACATCGATAAAAGACTTCGGCGAATCGACTACCTACGAGGACCTTCGAGCTTCCAACTGCTCATCTTGCCAGTTCTCCGACGACAAGTCTGCCTACTGGTACGTTCAAGTCACTAATCCAATCCGTAACCGCACTAACACTTCCCAGGACGCCCTCCCTGCACTTCGCCCACACCAATGGCAAGACTGAAGTCGTGTCCCAGGTCGGCGGTATGCTCGCATACTACCTCCTCCTTGGAGACGACATCCAGCCCTTCCCCGAGGGTTTCGAAGTTCTCGCAGGTGACTCTCGCCTGCGTAACTTCAGCGGTACCGTCCCCGACCCGCCAACATCATCCTGGGGCGCCGAGGACATGACCCAGGAGTCGCTCGGCCAGAAGTCCCTCGGCTTCAACTGCCTCAACTACGACCGCGCGCCCGAAGGCTCTCGCTACCGCCACTTCATGCCGGACAAGGACTACCTCGACGCCAACTGCATCGACGGTATCCGTGCTGAGATCTTCTTCCCCTCGTGCTGGAATGGCAAGGACGTCAAGTCCGATGACCACAAGTCGCACGTCGCATATCCCAACCTGATTGACGGTGGCAAGTGCCCCGAAGGCTACGAGACCCGCCTCCCCTCCCTCTTCTACGAGACTATCTGGAACACCTACGCCTTCAAGGGCAAGTCTGGCCAATTCATCTGGTCCAACGGCGACCCGACCGGCTACGGCTACCACGCTGACTTCATCAACGGCTGGAACACGGAAACACTGCGCTCCGCTGTCAACGACTGCACGAACCCCTCCGGCCGCGTCGAGGACTGCCAGCACTTCACCCCTTCGCTGCAGACTGAAGCTGAGCAGGGCGAGTGCAAGATCGAAGACATCCCCACCGCGCTACTCAACGACGACTGCGGCGGACCCTCTGACGGCCTCTGCGGAAACGTGCCTGTTCAGTATGGCCCTGAGTACGCTTCCGCGCTCCAGCCCGGCGCGACTGAGAAGCCCACCGGCGGCGTATCAATCACATCCGTCGCCCCCGTCCCTACGCAATCCTACGCACCCGCTCGCTCCAAGATCACAGACAAGTGGGGTGGCGGTATCAGCGTGTACAACGTCAAGACCTCCTCTGTGCCCGGTCCCTACAACACCGATGCGCTTGATGTTGCTAAGCCGAGCAAGGCCGCTGCGTCATCTGCTGCGGCGCCGGCTGTTACGCCCAGCCCGTCTCTTGAGGATGCAGCGGACCCTGTCGGCAGCATCATCTCGACTAAGATCTACACTGAGGGCGGTATTGTGTACGAGGTCGCGATCGAGGAGGTCGTCGTTACTACCACTGTTGATGCAGCGTACCGCAAGGCTAGGAGGCACGCGCATGCGCACCACCGCCGCGAGTTCCACTAAGCATGTCCCGCATCTTTGGTGCCTCGACTCCAGCCCTCAGTATTCTTATTGCATCATGATACAGCAGCATGGGCGGTGTTCGCGTGTCAAAAGCTCAAAAAGCTTCCCCCTTTAACCTCCTCGCGAGACGATCTGATTCCTCCTGGTGTGCATGTTCTGGCGGGACGGATTGGATTTTGGTATATAGCAAAGATTTGGAGGCTTGGTGACTGATGGTTCTCTTCTTCTTGCGTACTTGCGTTGCCTTTTGCGTTTTGGCGCTGTAGTAGAAGGCTGTGCCGGATACGCACGTGCTTGCTTCACTGATAGAATGAAAGAAGGGGGTAGTGATGACCTTGTTGCTACTCGGCTTGTTTTAGTTATGATATCCAATACATTGCAAGATTCGCCCCGACTCTCTTTCCCCTGAGTTCCTAGTTTGGTTGAGATGTCTCTGACGTGTTGCATGCAGGACCAACAAGACCAACAGACTTCAACTGAATAGGGTGCATTCGAAAGGTAATCAGTGACCTTTGATTGAGTAGTGGCTAATTCGTGACACCATACTTGACAGAGTACAGGGTAGTGGACAATATTTGAATTTGATTCTTGCGCTGTAGAACTTGGACCATAGCTGTCGATGGTGATTCTATGCATCCAGCCCTTCAGGATGCTCAAAATCTAAACTCATCCCCTTCCAACACCTGCGTCCCCTGGTTCAACCTCACCGTCCTCCTCCTCACATTCCGCCCATCGATTACCACCCTCAAATCATCAACCTTCAACCCGCGATCCACACTCACAGCGACATTATAACTCTCCCTCGGCCAAAGCGTAATACAGTTCGTCTCCCAAACCACCGGCACAACATCCCTCCCGGCCCCATCTACAAGGTTCAACCGCACAAACACCGCAGGCACATCACTCGTGTTCTCGATATGGATACTCGATCCATTTCCCCTCACAATAATAGTAGCTTCATCCATTGTTGAGAGAGCGGTGAGGTTCAGGAACGAGGTCACGGGTGTATGGTACCATGTCGAATTATTCCAGTCGAGTACGTCTGGGGTGGGCGCGAGCCAGTACACGTTTCCACTCAGCAGGCCTTCATGGTTGGGCGAGTTGAGATTGAGGCGAAGGAGCACGACGTCGGTGATATTGTCAAGGGCGGCGATGTGGGTGAGGCGTTTACTCAAGTTCGGCTCTGCGCCGAGGTTGTCCAGGCGAACGTCTGTGTCTTGGAAGACAGTTTTGCCAGCAAGGTCGATGATGTCGATATCCAGACTTCGCGCTTCGTCGTGGGTGGTGATTTTTAGCGCGCGGTTCACATAGTACACGTCGCGAGAGTGGTAGTCGAAAACGACGGATTCAAGGTTGCTGAGGGCGGCTTTGGTACCGAAGTAGCTTCCACCGGTATGGAGGTAATAGTCGAAGAGGTTCCAGTGTAAGCTTGGCCAGGCGTTGTTGAGCATCCAGTAGATCAGGCCTGTTGCGGAACGTTCGGCGCTCCAGCGTGAGAGGTAGGCTTCGAATTGGGCGCGTGTGGCTTCGTAGTCTGCCATCTGGGCTTTCAGGAGGTAATCATCGAGACTTGTGGGGCCACCATAGCGCTTGGAGAGCGCTTCGTTGTAGATGGAGCGCGTGTAGAAGGAGGATACGTTTGTGCTCATGTGGTAGAGTCCTTTGTCTGGGTTCTGCCAGAGGTCATCGAGGTCGGTCGAGGAGAGGAACTTGGTCAAACTGCCACGCTCTGGTGTGCCGACTCCAGCACCGAGCTCGGACCCAAAGCCAAATGCTGCGCCTAGATGGGTATCGTTGCCATTTTCGGTATCGTACCAGTAGTTTGGTGGTACCCAGTCGTACGGGCCGGTCATCTTCATGCCGCCGTTCCCAAGTCTAGCCGGAAAACCATTCTGGGAAGCAGATGCTATGATTGGGGTAGTCCAGTTGTAGCTTCTGAGTGTGTTGACATATAGATCAGTCGCCCTATTGTCAGGCCAGAAGTCGCTTCCAACCAAAAATCCCATCACGCTGGGATGGTTCTGCATCATGCCTGCTTCGTGCGCCATCGACTTAGCCGCAGTCTCATAATCTTCATCATCCCAATCCTCGCCACTCTTCTCCTCGTTGTAAGTCCAGGCCTCCCACTTGTCACAGCACTCCCAGCCTGGCAACAACATGATGCCCATCTCATCTGCGAGGTCGTACAGTTCGGGATGCTCTTGCTTGCCTTCAAGACGGATGGTGTTCAAACCCATGTCCAGGACGTACTGAAATTGCGTACGCAGCTTCTCGACGTTAAAGCGTAAGAAGATGTCTGATGTATAACCTGCACCAATGACCTGAAAAAGTTGGTCGTTGACTGAGAAGACGGTATCATTATGAGAGTCCAGCCGGGAGGTTACTGTACGGATGCCGAACTGAGTCTTTGACGTCTGATCGTATACCGCCGAGACACTGGTATTACTGTTGTTACTTGCGGTGCACTGAACGCTGTATAGTGGTTGGTCACCCCACTGTGATGGATACCAGATCTTCGGGTTGTCGACTTTCAGGTGTAAGGCTACCAAAACCGGCTTTCCGCCATCTGCATCGAACGGAGCACAAGACCTTCCGAGCTCTTTCCCATCTGGGTCTGTCACAGCACACTGAACTCTGCCCTCGATACGCCCGTCGCCCAGATTTTGAACGCTGACCGAGAAGTTCACATTGCCGTTTAATGTCGTCCTCACACGCGGCTTTCCAAGACTGATCTGCCCGCTCTGCTTAATCTGGACATCGCGCCAAATGCCTGTTCCATTATCCGGTGGGTAAGGATTCCAGTCCACGAAGCCGAGGGCAAAGTCACGGTTGTAGTCAGTAGGGTACACCTTCACGAGGAGAACATTCGCTCCAGCCCTCAATTTGGAAGTGATATCGAGCTCGGATCCAGCATACGCGCCGATGGTTCCTCCAAGATACTGCCGATTGAGCCACATGTCCGCACGAGACGAGATACCGTTCGTGATCAGCTGAGTGAAGGTGTCGTTATCTTCTTTGTACTCAAATTCAGTGCGGTAGAACCACGGCACGCGAAATCGGGCAATGTCGACCTCTTGCAGGTTATCTGAGAAGAAGAGCGAGGTCTCGTTGTAAACGCCGTTGTCGATCAAGGTGGCCATGAGAGTGCCCCTTGAACCGATGGTGTACCATGATGATGTCTCCAGACCTGGTGCAGAGAGTTTTGCGGTATTGATGCCGACATCTTTGGTCGAAGCTACTTTCCAAGAGGGGATGGTCGTCGTAGAAAGGCCGAAAGTTGTGGTGACAGGAAGGCTGACGAGACTTGTTGTAGCCACAAACAGCCGCGTAGGCCATGCTAGAGTGATTTTGCCCATGGTTGTCTGGTGTTTGGAGGTGCCAGGCTGAATTGCGAGAAAGATGAGGCTAAGGCTGATATATGGCTTGCATGCCTGGCGAGGCGGGATGCAATGTAACGTCAAGGCTCGTATCGCGGATGCGTCGACTCGGGAAGTCACACAAGAACGAAGAAAGGTGGAGAGATGTGATGTATCGAAAAGGGTTTAGTATGTTGGACATGCAAGGTTCCTCAGTTAGAGTTACTCCGCACGCTAACATAAATACATGCAGGGAAGGCACACAAGGGCATGTTTACCGCAGCAACCACCGCCGCACGTCTGCAGATCCTGTGTATGTATCGGAAAAAGAGTTGCAATATGACGTACGCTGATTAAGTTTCCAAGTTCACAACTTCCAACCTCTCCTCTTCGCCAGCGCAGTTTCTTGCCGAACAGCCAAATCGGCAATGATCTCTTCGCTGCCACCACCGACGACCTGGGGCGATATTAGCAACACGTTTAACTCTAAGGTCAGTCTGTAGACACACCATCATCCTGAGATCGCGACTCATTTGCTCAACAATAGCGCCAGGCCCACCCTTCTGATACCCAGCTCCACCAAAGATCTGTTGTGCTTCACGGTTCGCCATCTCTAGAATGCGACCCCCATGCACCTTGGTCAGCGCAATCTGCCCAGCGATCTCCGGGTCTTGCCATCCTAATGGAGACTGCTGGATGTGGTATGCAAGCTGCTCGAGCCAAGCCCAATGGCTCTCCACGTACCGTCCAATGGTGGCTAGTTTGTGGCTAATGATCTGATTCGCAATCAAAGGCTTGCCAAAAGTGTGACGCTTGTTCGCGTAGTCGAACGATTCAGACAGACACGTGCGGGCCTTGCGATTACACCCAATCGACATGATAAAGCGCTCCTTGTTGAAGTTGGTCATAATGATCCGGAAGCCTTCATTCTCCTTGCCGAGGAGGTTCTCGACTGGTACGTGGACATCATCGAGTTCGACAAAGCTGGCACCGCCGCCGTTTTGCCCGCTGTTTGGTATGCGCCGCCATGTGAAGCCCTTCGAGTCGACGGGAATAACGATGACCGAGATGCCGCCCATGCCTGGGCCACCGGTGCGTACAGCGGTTGTCATGTGTGTAGCAGTGGGCATACCAGTGATCCACTTCTTGTAACCATTTACGACATAGTGCTTGCCGTCTGAGGTTTTCCTCGCGGTCGTTTGTATGTTGGCAACATCTGACTTTGAAAATGTCAGTCTAACCAAAAGGTGAGCAGTAGCAGTACTTACACCACCACTTGGTTCCGTAATGCCCAGGCAGAAGCTTGTCTCCCAGGTGAACAGCCCTGGTAGCCACTTCTGCTTCTGTTCCTCTGTGCCATGGTGTACGATAGGTGGGACGCCAATCACACTTCCACCGCCTAGAGCAGTACCAACACCACCCTCAATGCGGCTACTCTCATCTGTAGATACTAAAAGATGGAAGATGTCCGTCTCTCCCACCGGTATGCCGGCAGGCCCTGGTACGTCTTGGGGTCTGTATGGCTCAGGCACATCGCCGAATGCAAAGCCAGTACGAGCCCACTTCTTGCGCTCCGCTACTGGAGCCTCGCCTTTCTCCTCCCATTCCAGCATATATGGCTTTACATTGTCGTCAATGTAAGATCGTAAGGCGTTGCGCAATCGTTTGTGGGACTTGTTGTAGTATGGCGACGCGAGTGAAGAGTACCACGATGGTTCAGCCCAAGGACCGAGATTGCCGAAGGTCTCTTTTTTGGTGGGCTGCTTCATGGAGGGTGCGAGTGCAGGCTTTGCCTGAGGAAATGACATGATGTGTGTGTGTGGAGATGTGAAGCCATGATTGCAGTGAGCATTTGCTGGCATAAGCAGCCACCGGTCGCAGAGCAGCTGTGTTGCCGCGGCCCGTTGGAAACTTGATGGGCGAGTCAGGTGCGGGGTTGGTCGATCGGCGGCGCTTGGCTTGTGGGGCTCTTCAGAAGCTTCATCCTAGCATTATCGGTTGAGATCGAACACCTGAAAGCTCTTCATTGAGTAATCACGGTGCAGCCGGTAAGAAAGAGGAGAAATGGTATCAAGTGGTCTAAAGTATGGTAATGTGTTCACAAGCCTTTTGCGGCCTTAATTCAATTTACGTTATTAGGTACAAGGAAGGTATCGTTATTCCAGAAGAACCCGTCGTTTGTATCGTACCGCTATCGAACCCATTCTCTATTGGTGGGGCGACACGTTTACCTGGCACAGTAGCCACCGTCAATGAGGAGATCGGAGCCCTGAATATGTTAGTGTCTGATGATAGTGAGAGTTGTTCGAGAAGACGTACAGTGCAGTAGGAGGAAGCGTCAGAGGCGAAGTAGACGTAGGCGCCCTTGAGCTCCTTGGCCTTAGCATCACGACCCATGGGGATCATGGAGTGCCACAGCTTCTGGATGTCCTGGGGAACGAAGTCGGATAGACCGGTGTCAATGTATCCGGGGGAGATGGAGTTGACACGGGCGAAGTCCCTCCACTCGTTGGCGAGCGAGCGGGCAAGGTGGATGCAGCCAGCCTTAGCGACGTTGTAGGAGGTCTGCTCCTGGGGGAAGTTGGCGATGTGGCCGGACATGGAGGCAGTGATGACGAGGGAGCCAGTCTTGCGCTCGCGGAAGTGAAGACCGACAGCACGTGCGCAGTTGAAGGTACCGGTTAAGTCAGTCTCAATAACCTCGTTCCACTGCTCAACGGTAGCGTCGAGGATACCGTTATCAGCGGTCTTGCCAGCGTTGGCGATGAAGACATCGACCTTGCCGAACTCCTTGATAACGTCCTGGACGAGCTGCTCGCACTGGGAGTAGACACCGACCTGGCACTTGTAGGCCTTGACCTTGACGCCGTACTTCTCGCTCAGCTCCTTAGCGTTCTTCTCGGCACCCTCAGCGCGAGAGTTGTATGTGATGGCGAGGTCAGCGCCGTACTCAGCACAACCGCGGGCAGCCTCGATACCGATACCGGTAGGGCCGGAGGCACCAGTGACGATGACGACCTTGCCCTTAAGGCTAAAAAGGTCCTTGAGCTCTTCAGCTTGGGGGATTGGGACCATGATGACTAGTGTTGAATATAAAAAAGGGTATAAAGTTGAAGAAAGTGCAATTGAGCTCAGATGAAGCAATTGAAGATGATGTTCACTCCGAGGGGCAGGAGGGGTTCAAGTACTCTCTCAGCGCAAAAAGGCTGAGACTGAGAGCTCCTACGGTTAGCGAGGGGCCTGGTCCAGAGTGACGTGTGGCTTCATGCTCAACGTCACAAAGCGGCGGTGATTCGCCAGTTGTGTATCTAAATGTGGGCTTACTACGGCGATAACAGCTGTTAGCTAACCCTAGGCGGAGGCTGAAGTGGGACTGAGTGGGTTGAGTTGTGACGTTGATCGTGATGTCCTGCCCCTCCATCTAATCGATAAGAGCTATTTGTTTGGAGCTTCGCCGGCTTTCTCAAATGTTCCCTCCTACACGTAGTCTGATACTTCCAGGTTTCGTGGAAATCATCCGAGGAAAGGAGAGGCTGGTGCCTGCTGCGACGTTACTGTGGCGGCCCATGCTAGATTCCCGAAAGCCATCCTTTCTCTCGGTGTCTGCATGTCAGTCATTGAAATCTCGAAACAAACGCGCCGACACGGATCGCGTCCACATGCACACTCGACATGCATCCCTCAAAAGCCGACCGCTTGTGCTTGGCCTTGTACACCCTAGACGCAGTTGAGTAAGATTGGAGATGCTAAAAGCTCTTTCCTAGATAGGAGAGAAACTGGGCCAAGTTGCAACACGAGAGTGACCGTCAGCCTTACTCATCTTCTTCTCCGCAATCTTTGGTAGTGCTCTTTCTGAAGGCCACCCCAGTACTCGCTGCTTTGTCATGTCTTTCTCATGGACCCTGCATGTCCTTCTGCATACAAAGGAGGGGAACCTTTGGTGATTGACTGTGAGAACACGGAGTGTAGCCCCAAGAAACCACGCGGCCAGGGGCAACAGGTCATGTGGACCCGCCATTGAATTGAAAGTCATCGTGCAGCTTGCTCAGCCTGGTCGAGAAGTCTTTATCGTGGGAGCTGCGTGGTGGTTGTCCTGATTGTTGCAGGTCTCGACACCACATGAGTACAGGCCTCCTATGTGTAATTGGTGAAGACTAGTTGTCCAGGTAGTCTGCCTCCGCGTATAAACACTGCATCCACTGCATCGCTGTTCCAAACTTCACCTTGGCGTGGGCGACGACCTCCATGTCGGGTAGATCTCCGGTCTTGTCCTCGGAGAAGAATGAAGGCGTTCGACAACCTTGGAAGGCATTCCTCAGCGCCAACACGTGATGGGACGTAAAAAGCATCTCAAACCCCTTTAACAGCGTCCATGCCCACCTCTATGCTTCTTCGGGAGTTGGATGTCCGTCCAATGTCAGCGTCGCAGCGTCCAACGTGAACCGCAATGTCTCGGACCCTAGCGCCTAGCGCTGCGGCCAAGCTGGTGCTGTGCACCTCAGGGTTCACCAGCTTCTGCTTTTCTCACCCTCAATCTGTCCTGAGTGCTTTGCACAGCCCGGGTTTTCTTTGACAACTTCATTGGCATCTATCTACAATCTACACCCTGATATACGCAGAAAGTCGCAATCATGGTGCTGCACGGCCTTCTCCCAAAACCTCTCCCCGCAGACATGCTAATGGGTACCAATATCACCCAACGGTAGCTCCAACGAAGCTAACGAGCCCAGTCGGCCAACTCCTAACACACCCACTCCATCCTGAACGCGAATGCTTCTACTCCAACACAGCGCACGAAGAAGTCGACGATCTCAACGATTACCACATCCAGCTTCGTTACAAGGATCTCTACAGCATCGACCAAGAAGGTCGATTCCTGACTAACTATGGAGCCAAGTTTGAGCTTGGGAGGATATACAGGCAGCCGAACCTGCTCACAGTCAAGGCTGAGCAGATGATCCAACGTACCAGCCAGAATCCCACAGCAGCCTTCGAAGCTGTATGTAACGACCCAGAGGCGCGCACCTGGATCTACGACACAGTGAAAGCTGGCAAGCCGCTATACATTGTCTTGGGTGTTACGGAGCTGAAGAATGCCGTCTTCAAGCGGGCGAAGCTCCAAGACTCAGGCGCGTCGAACCGCCTGAATGAGCTGCCTATCGAAAAGGGTGCTAAAGTGCCCAAGTCTTTGCAGAGAACCGCGTCTTCAGACTCGGGCCTTGGAGGAATTGGCAGCGAGCCTCAGATATCTGGTGTATTCGGCATGGACGTTAGACGTGTCACGGCCAAAATCACAACACCGGCCGAGCCTCATAGCTTGTCTGACCTGAAGTACCGATGGTTTTACTACGACGTTGCCGGCAGCGAGACTAAGGAACAGCTCATGATCGGTCTCGGCGAACAGCTCAGGGCCAATGAGCTGCGACTGATGCTTGACTTGTCTGAGGACGATGTCCAAGGCAATTTGGAGGCGATCAGCAAGCTGAGCCTTGACGCGCTGAGCGCTGCCGCTAGTCCCATGCTGCGCCCCAGCTCACCGGCTCTCCGAGGACGCTCGCCCTCCCCGAACCCAGCCATGTTACGATCTCAACATTGAAACTTGAGGAATTCGCATTACAACATAATTACGAAGACACGACGCACACGACGAGGAGCGCATACAGCAACTCTGCGCTTACACATGGCATAATAGACTGACAGCGCCTTTGCGACGACATCGACATGATAGCCCTACATACCTTTTCTCCTCGACGCATTGGTGCATGACAGATCCTCTCCCTCAGCCTGTGTTCATCTACCCTTTTTGCCTGTTACACTCATAGAATATTATTTATTACGACCATTGCACTCACCTCTGTCATCACTTGCTTTCTCACCATTCACTCCACCGCTCTCGAAAGAACATATTTCAGCAGAGATGTGCATTCATTGCAGCACTGCCATCTGCAGCTGACCTTAGTCTACAGTATTTTTACATAAACGCGTCTTAAAACTGACGCACCGCGCTAGCGGCCAGAAAGGCGCGATTGCGGGGCGCTAAAATTTCTAGAGAAGCAGGAACACACATCTCTCACACATTACGACTGCATTCTAAGTATACAATGGCCAGCGCGACATCATGGTACTTATTACCGCCCGACCTGTTGGAGCTACAAATTGGTCAGATCGACCTGTTAATGGCGATGTACCCGGAGGATATCACACTTGACGACCATGCGGAGAAGGTGCTCGATATTCTGCGCAATGCGGTTGACAACGGTGGAAGTTGCGGTTTGAATATTGCACCTGTGGTTTCTATGGTCCTGCAGTTGTCCATAGCAGAAGACGATGCGCAGACAATACGATTGGACCTCACCGCTCCGTTCACATACGAAGGCTTTCAAACTCCTGACGAACCACCAAACTTCAAGGTTCGAATTCAGCAGCCATCATGGCTTAACAGAGCAGCCACAAATCAGCTCCAAGACGTAGTGCCTGAGGGAGAAGATCTGCTCAGCACCATCGAACACATCAAAGAGACGGCTGCACGAGCGCTTGAGGTTTCTCTTCAATCACAAGTGACCTCAGCTACATCCGCGTCTGATTCCGGGACCTCCGTGCGAGTCTGGTTCTACTTTCCGTCGATCAGCACACGCTCCAAGCGCGACGACTTCATCAAGTTTGCTCCCGCATACAACCTCACTGGCTTTCTGTACGCCGGTAAGCCAGGCCTACTTTGCGTTGAAGGCGGCTCGCAGAGCATTGACGAATACATGCGCTTCATCAAAACAGAAAGTTGGGGGAACATTCCGTCGCATCACAAGAAGGTCAGCGAGCGGTATCGTGAGACCGCAGAAAGGGTGTTCAGTGACATGACTGAGATCACGGATACTGTGGGCGAGAGAAGAGGACAGAGACAGAATAGGGGCGACATGAAAGCTGTTGAGGAGTGGCTCGATGAGAGAGGGTTGAAGGAGGCGTTGACAAAGGTGTTGATGTGAAGTCGCACGACTGGTGGCGATGCTCCAAGGACTCTGCTCGCAATACAATACCTGTCGCGCAAACTTCGAGCTTCAAGCAACAGCGGCACGACTCGAAATGCGAAAGCATCAATCAGCAAACACATGTCGCACCACCTTGCTTGGTTTTTTGCACCAGAGTTCGAATGCGCAGAGCCGGCGATGCTATTCAACTCCTGGCATCCATCTCAGCGAAGCGCGTGGGAATGGGAGATGGGAAAAGAAACATCCTTGCTTGATGAGTTGCCAGCCCTGTAAGCAGGTTAAGCGATCAGTATCGAGAAAGACAACATCGCGGCTGCTTCGAAGCGATCCGCAGCAGAACTTCTGGATCACGTTGTTCTGCTAGAATTGAGCGAAGCGAAGACATTATGAAGAGACACACTTACACTAGCCTTTTGAATCATAAACCAGTACGATCGTGGGCGAGGGTTCCCCGAGTCGGGGTTTATTGGCTGAGACAAGTTCACTGCACTACTGGTCGAGGAAAAGCCGATTTTAGAACCCGGGATTCGAGACCGGGTTCCCCGGTATGCATATCTGGGACTGCTAGGCAGTAATCAAGGGCATTATCTGACAGCAGACAGACTTCGCGTGTCTGAGTCCTCATACGGACTTTTCCAGATACAGATCGTATCATGAATAGCATGGTCCATACTACACAAGCCCATCCAACGGCGGTTATCTGATGCTTCAGAACCCTCACTCTTCCTAGGATGGACATGAGGCGGTCTCGGAGTAGAAGTTGAAGCGGCTCACGATGCCCTCGAGCAAGGTAAGGGTGTTTCCCAAGATCTGTCAAACAGAGCTTGCGTTGAGTGCAAGGACAAACTGTTATCGGTTTGTTCATGCACCCAGAGGCTATTTGTCGCCAACAATGGACAAAGTCCATCCAGCTTGTTCTCGTGTCGGAAGAAAGCTCTCTTTGACAACAGCAAACTCTGTGCTGACATTTAATGTAGACCAAAGCCTTTAGCACGACGCCTGACAAAACCGCAAGACCAACCATCAAGATGGATGAACTGGTGTGGACAGCATATCGTGAGCGTCATTGCGACAAGGATGGAGTTCCAATTGTCCCTCTGGATTTTGAATCTTTCAGCAAAGGACTTGTGGTTGCGCATCCAGACTCTAAGAAGAAGCTCACAGCTGCACTGAAAAAGTGAGTATGCTTACTCGATCTATCATTTCTAGACTCTGACCGCTCTTAGATTCGACATGGACGTTTGTGTGGAAATCCTGAAGCGATGGCCGAGAAACGACAATGGTTATATGAGAAGCCGTTCGGGCGCGCGTAAACATTTAAAGACTCTGAGAACTGATCTTGACGACAAAACAAGCAAAGACGCCGTTCTGAGGTACTTACTTCGTTGACGAACAATGATCTTGACTCTGACATCTTACCAGGATACAAGAGAGAGACAGTGCCATTGCAGAAGCTCGCCTGACTGCAAAAACAACCACAAGTCAGAAGCCCGTCAGATCCGTGACGAAGCCTATCACGACGCAGCCGGCCACATCTGCAAAGACTGTACGCTCAATCAGTTCTGCTCAACCAGCGCCCTCGGCGCACTCACCGCGACCTTCTGGCTTGCCAATCTCGCTACCAACGCCTGAATACTCTGACGTAGATACACATCAGTCAGGGAATACCAGTGCACCTGATGACGACATGTTGGCAAAGAAGCTGAAGCAGCTGCAGATGTCCACTGGGGTAAAGGCGGCGGAATCCCAAGCGAGTAGTGACCATCCTGTTCAGAGGAAAGGTCCTGACTTTTTGTTGTTCGACCAACTTCTTCAAGACCGGGGCAAGCGTGCCACTGTTTCGGCATCGTCCAGTGCAATTAAACAGAGCATTCGCCATGCTCCTCTCCTTACGTCAGGAGTATTATCTGAACACTACAAAGATCTTGTACCACAGTATGGGTTGCTTGGTAGTCTTGAAGATGAGAGAAGCGACGCATCTGCCTCCCAGCTGTTTCTAAACACAAACGTGCCATTCTCGGCGTTCATTTGTGGTGTTCAAGGAAGCGGAAAGAGTCACACAACGTCCTGCATTCTCGAGAATGCAGTATTAGCTTCACCGAATATTGGCTATTTCGAAAGCGCTGTCTCGACACTAGTCTTCAGCTACGGCGAGTGGAGCAGCGGTGGTGCAGGCTTCAACATCAGCGAGGCCACCTTTCTTGGAGCGTCGCACCCAGACTTCCCCGGTCACCACGTCAGGCAGGTCACAGTATTGTACTCGCCGTCGAATGCAGCAATCAAAAGGTTGTATGAGCGCCTTCCGAACGTCAAAATGTTGCCTTTCCGACTCAAAGCTCAGACTCTTGACATTGGCGCTCTGCATACGTTGATGGCTGTAGACGATAAGTCAACAATGCCGCTGTACATGGTTACGGTCGAAGAAATACTGCGTAGAATCGCGTTCGAAAGCGAGGACGGAAGCCTGGACTACCTCGAGTTCAAGCGTAGACTTTCGAAAGAGAAGTTCGACCCTGTGCAGACCAACATGCTGAAAATGCGCCTGAACTTGCTTGAATCCTTCCTCGATCTTAATGGTACCGCACCAAAACCAGAGTTCAAGCCTGGAGAAGTCACTATCATAGATCTTTCCGACCCATTCCTCACACCTAGCACAGCTTGCATCCTCTTCAAGCTCGGACTTGAGCAATTCCTACAGTCTCGCTCACCGGGCAAGATGGTAGTGTTGGACGAGGCCCACAAGGTATGTCACCTTACTTCGTCACTGTTGCTCTGCTGACCTTCTCAAGTACATGCTCGATACACCCGGCTCAAAGATACTCAAAAACTATCTCACCAGAGTCATCCGTCTCCAGCGCCATCAAGGTGCTCGTGTAGTCATATCAACCCAGGAGCCCACTATCGCAACGGAGCTCATCGCACTCTGCTCAGTGACAGTCATACACCGCTTCACGAGTCCTACATGGTATTCTGCGCTTAGGAAACAAATCAATGCTATAGGCGACGATAAGGCCATCATGCAGCAGATTGAAAGTCTTGAGACAGGTGAAGCACTGGTGTATTCGCCAAATGCGGTGCTGGGGAAGAATGACGATGATGGAAGTTTGATCAAGGCTGTTGGTCGCTTGATGAAGGTGAACATTAGGGACAGGGTTACGCTAGATGGTGGAGCATCTATTATGGCTGTCTAAAGTGCTTACATTAGGACCAGGTCAGGTACTATATGGCTTTGATAATGAGTAGGTTTTATGAACATCTGTTCTGACAAGGATATTTGCCAGACGTCTGCCGAAGAGACGTTGCCCGCCAATTTCCCGGTTTCCTCTCCACTTCTTTGATACCGCGGAACGGCAACAACCGTTGCAAAAGCAAGGTCCACACGCAAAGGCCCACAATTCCATCCCGCCCTCATGGCTTTTTGCAAATTCGCATGACAATCTTATCAGATCTTCACTTTGGCAGCAATTCCTGACCAGTTATACACGATAACCACACTACGTCATACTTACACGACAGCACGTGCGTCTGGCAACCACGCGTCATGACCAGGTTTGGCTCTTCCGCCGATACAACCCTTGCACAAACACCAAGACCCGGTATTGTTTTGACGTCTGTCGACCATCAGTGGCGGGATCGCTTCTTGGCGCGTACATTTCACCACTCGAGCTCGCCAAATTCAGGTGCCACGAGAAACGCAAAAGGAAGAGTTGGCGACCCGAGTCATGTAGCGAGAACACAGATCCGGCTGACATGCCGCGGGCAACGAAGCAACAATGAACATCCCAGTATAATTGGCCAATGCTAGCAACCCGAGGACAAGAAAAAGATCAAACAAGACAAAGCTTGACCGCAATGAGATGGGATTGGCAATTGATCCAGATCACAGCATGTTCGTAAGCTTACGAGCTTTCCAAGGACCTCTGGCCTGCATGGATTCCCCCGCAGCCTTTTACAGAGCCTGCTAGATGGTCCAATGGCTCCTGTATCGGCAGCATGGGTGCTTTAAAGCATGATAGCATACTTAGGTTTTGCGCATGTCATCTGCCGCAAGCTTGTAGGATCCGTATAACTTGAGGAGTCCCTGTGGACAAACTCAATCCGCCAGTCCACTTTCCCTCCTCCACGGTCGTACCTGCAGCCATGCTCCGCAACCTTGCTATCCTCGCCCTTGGCGGGCTCGCTACAGCTTTGCCTCAACCGGCAACAGACATTCCTGCTGTTGTCACAACACCGCCTCACGGCTCTGAGCCAGGTGCTGCACCTACTCGCGTCAGCCCTGACCCGACTGGACCTACCAGCCATGGCCCTTACTCTGGATCAGCCACAGTTACCGGAAACAAGCCTGCTGGGCCCACGACGTTGGCTTTGAAGTTCGATGGACCGGCAATTCCTAACCCTACCGCCACTTACTACAACCCTGATGGCGAGCTGCGATCTCCTGCTCAGCTCCCCTTCCTTCCTGGAGGTAAGTCAGCCCTCATATTGGATAGTTGTTGGCCACATGCTGATTGTATCTTGTAGGTGGCAAGGGCGTCAATGGAACGCTTCCCAGGTACATGGTCGAGAGCGACTTCGACTTCGAGTCCGTCAACCTTGGACTGCACCAGGAGTACATCGAACTTGACCTCTTCAACCACGGCCTTGCCAAGTTCTCGGACCAGGACTTCATTGATGCTGGCTTAACTGCCGAGGACAGGGCTTTCATTGCCTTCATGGCCACTCAGGAGATCGACCACGCTACGCTTCTTACCAACATGCTTGGCGAGGCAGCTCCCAAGCAGTGTACCTACGACTACCCCTTCACTACTGTCCGCGAGTTCATCGACTTCAATGTCAAGCTTACGAGGTGGGGTGAGAGTGGCAACTGGGGTTTTATTTCCCACCTGGACAGCCGCGAGGTTGCTACGTTGCTGGTTCAGGCTGAGTCTATTGAAGCTCGTCAGCAGATGGCTTTCCGTCAGATGTTGGGTCTGCACCCAATGCCTGTTTCCTTTACACCTGGTAAGTGCACTAAAGTAACTGAAACATGAACACAGACTGATAGCGCCCAGGTATTCCCCAGAGCTGGCACTGGACTCTGCTTGCCCCCTACATTTCGTCCTGCCCTGCAAACAACACCCGCATCGCATGGCAGAACTTCCCCGCCCTGCACATCCTCAACACTCCTAACCCTAACAGGTAAGCACGCCCAATCCCTCTCATCACTTAGTACTCACTACTCCCCAGGGTCTCCCCCAACGATACCGCCGAAAATGAAGTCGTCGGCCCCCGTGTTGCCGATCCCAGCATCTCAAACCTCACCGAGTCCGAATCTTGTGTTCATAACACAACGACCGGGTACAATTGCTCGCCCGCCATCTCGCGCAATAGGACCGAGCCCCTGACCTTCCCCGGCCGCAAGATCTTCCTCGAGTGGGAGGACGCTGGTAAGGCTGTTGGGCCGAACAACAGCTACGTCACCAGCACTACCGCTGCTGAGCCGAAGTTCCTGGCCTGGGTCAGCCAGATCAACACTACATACACTCCACTCGAGGTCACTGGACCCAACCAGGGCTGGTCGTGGCAGCCGCCGAATGAAGTGTACCAGCGCAACCCTGCTGTCAATGAGACAGTGTTCGTTGCTGTTACCGACTCTGACCTCTACCTGACTCCTTTTAACTTGACGTTGATCAACCCGCACGTCCGCGCGTTGGGTATCTTCATCGCCGGTTAGAAAGGTGAGATGATTTTTGCAACGCATTGAGAACAGCTACAGGGCTGTTGGGAGGACATAATGTGTATAGTACAATACCCTAATCCGAATCACGCACAAGTACTCCTTTGGTTACCTCGTTCTTGTTTCTTTAGTTTCAGTTGTGTCCTCCGACTACAGGTCCCAGGGAACTGCGGGATTACCAGCGATCGACAGGAAGCTCGCCCTGCCTAGCTACGGCTTGATCAGGGCACTGTGAATTCACGACGAGTCTTCCCCGGATTCACGGCCTCGACTAAACATTTCAAGGTATTGTGCACTCGCAATGGGCCTTCTCTGGATCCACCGCCTGGCTTGAACATTGTTTGATTTCTTGCTCGAGATGCCACCGACAAGTACAGTGAAAGAACACATCAAGTCTATACGGGTGCCAATTTTTTTTTGACATATTTCCCCACTGAGTCTTTGAAGCATAACTGAGCAACTGCACCGAACTCGGTTGCTAACCACCGGTAATCATGATTGCGGCTCCAATATCTTCTGCTGACCCAGCAACTACCCACAATCAACCTCCAGACAACACCAGCCGAGAACCCCCGTCACCGACAGAATCCGACGGCTAGCCAAGCTCCGCATCCTCCACAGAGCCAACGGTAAGTCCCAAACCCTCCACACCTAATACTCAAGCCCTGACATACGAAGAAGCCGTCGTGAAGGGTTGTAAGTTGCTCGATCGTGTGCTGGCCCCAAGCACAACGACCAACCACTTCACGTCCCCAAGGGACCTCCGAAATTGGGGCTACACGACCATCACCCTTACCATCAACCCTTTCCACGCCTACCACTCCCTCCTCATATACATCTTCCCCGGCAGCACCCCCCAACGCAGTCTAAGTTACCAGCGTCTACGCTACCTACCTTTGCAGCGACGACGGCACAGTAGCCCCAGCCACTGACGCACACTTCACTAACATGATCGATTTACAAGCTGGCGTGATCGTCGCAGGGAGCAACTTCGGACCCGCGTCCACGATGCGGGAGTGCGGGTTGAAAGAAGGGGAAGAGCATCCGGGGCTGAGGCACTGGAGTGATGTCGTATACCTTCAGGCGCTCTACCTCTGCAGTGCTAGGATGAGGATGCCGCGGGGTTTCATGAAACCGAGTCCTGATGCGATTCAGGACTTGAAGCATGTTGTAAGGCACGATGTTGAGAACACAGATACAAATACCGTCCATGAAATCATCCAGACCCACATCACAGGTTCGTGTCATTGCAGCATCGTCGATACAGGTTGTCTGCACTGCAGCCCCCACATCGCATGGCCCGGTCTCACCTTCGCAATCGACACCGATCAGGCGGTGGCTCTGCTGAGTACGCCGATCGGACGCGATGTTACAAGGTTGCTGGCTTGGCTTGGGAAGCGGGTACGGGAATTGACGCTGTGGTGCGATGTAGCGAAGGCGCCGTTACGGCCCAGCTTGTTGTTCCATGTTGAGGATGGTGCTGGGATGCAGAGTGATGAGGGTGATGGGGATGTCGAAGGGTTGGCGGGAAAGGTGGAGGTTGGTGAGGATGAGGGTTGGATGTAGCGGAAACTTGGGGAGGTAGGCATGATACTTGAAATGCAGGATGTTGCACTAGTTCGATTGACTTCATGTGAATTGGATGCAAGGAGCGTGCAGCATGATCAGCCCTTCCATGGATCCAAACCTCAGCGTCAACAACCTACCTCTCATCCTTTATACATCACTTCTTAACCCCCACAACTACCAAATTCCGCGGACTATGCTTGTACTCAAAGACCGGCTCTACCCACGCCATCTCCACCTCACTCTGCTCCTTCAGCCACAGCCACCGATCCGTGACAATAACCGCCTCGACAACTCCCGCACTGAACGCCATCAAGCTCCACATCACACTGAGCTCCTTCTTTCGCTCCGCATACCGTACCTCGTAGTCCCTGATATCGTCGTCGGTCAAGCCGTCCATCTTGCTCTTGATGAAATTAGGATCAACTTCACAGAAGGAGTTTGGAGCTACGAGTTTGGCTTCTGCGGCACGGACGTAGGATACGAAATCGCCGTAGGCGAACTTGCGCAGCGTACCGATGGTGAGGGGTGTCGAGGTACCATCGGATGATAGACCGGGGCCGCGGCCGTTGGGCGGTGTCCAGTTGACGTGGCTCGTGTGTCCGTTTGCAGAGACTGGGTCGGGGAAGTTGCTCGCATCAACAGGGGCAGATACAATGCCGCGATCGAGGAATATACGCTGCAGTAAGGCGCGGTAGAAGTGCCGACTGAAGAAGGTTTCGCTATCGGCGCGGCCCCAGTTGAAGGGTGCTTGGACGGCCATCATGCGCGCTGTGATGTTGAGGCGGAGGCCCTTGGCGCCAGAGGGCTCGACAGATGCATTGGGGAATGAGGCATCGAGTGTTGGGGGCCGAGGGATAGGGTAGTTGGCGAGCTTCTCGGACATGGGGAAGCCTTGGGGGTCGAATGCGTTTGCGGTTGCTTCGAGACGAGGGTGGTTCGGACGAAGAGTGGGCAGCTTATACGTTGGGGGCCCGAGACGTTCGGTCACAAGGTTGTAGCAACAGCCTACCATTGCTACTGCTGAGATTTCTGGACTAAGGAGCAGGGAGCGGAGGCCGTAGTGCACGAGGTTGCCGCAGGAATGCAAGGACATGACCATGGCGTTGACTTTCTTTGGTTTCGGTACTGTTGTGAGGTCCAATGGCACTTCAGTGGTTGCGGAGGTCGAAGTGACTTTGTCTTCTGCGATGTGCGAGGGGTCATGGACTTGATTGATGACGGGGCGCAGATCGCCATCCTTGATGATGTGCTCCACATACTGTACGCTGCCATGACCTTCTGAGTATATCTGGAGGTTGGTAGTACTGGTCTTCGTATCCTTGACAAAGCTACCCTTCGAGTCGCGTTGTACTGTCCCTTCCGCCTTCGGTGCGATTTCTTGCCGTAACGTTTCCGAATGCTCGACAGTGCAGCCGTCATCATCGCATTTCACACCTTCCAGAGCAGGTGTAGGGATAGACGTAGCTTCTACAGTAGCAGCAGGTATCGAAGTAGTTCCATTGGTAGTTGGCTTTGCGTCCTCTTTCTCCACAGCCGGCTCATTTGCGGCGTCATCTGGAGCAGCACTGGCTTGAGCGTCCTTTGGCTTCTTCTTCTTACCCTTGCCCGTCAATGCCCGATACTCCTTCTTGTTCCTCATAACAAGAGGTTTGTCCACCAGTTTGGCGAGTACATCCATGTTCTTCGCACCTTCGATGTTGTGTGGTCTACTCTCAACAGCAACGATGTGCTTGGAGTAAGGTTGGGCGGCAAGCGCACGGCCGAGATAGTTCTGCCCAGAGCCAAAGTCTACAAGATGCGTGATGGGCTCCTTGCCGGAAGAGGCAATTTCTGAGGTCAGTTTGTCGAGGTAGCGCGCAAAGTTGTCCACTTCGTGCACTTTCTTGACCTTCATGCCCAGGGTGATGTGTCGTGCCAAAGATGCCCTCTCAGGCTGTGGCCCGGAGCCTGGTGGAGGGAAGTCTCGTGCAAGCAGATGTCTTCGAACATCCTTGATGTATTGCACAAGATCTGCAGGTGGACTTGGGCCATCTCGCCAGGTTGGTGTCCCATCATCAAATTGGGCCAGGTCCTCTCGCATTAGCAAGTCCAGGACGTGCATAATGTCTCGGCTCTTGAACCAATCTCTCCATGATTGCGGCAAGATAGTCGAATAGAGATCTGGTGTGCGTGTGTAGAAGTCCAGCACGTGGACGCCTCCACACAATGTCTGCAGCAGCCATGAGGAAGTGCTGAACTTCAACAGTGACTCGACATAGTCGTCGACATTGTCGAATTCGGCTGGTAGTGGAAGTGGCTGTTCAGGACCCATGGTATCATCCATATCCTCTTCCTGACAAAATTGGTCTGGAGTGTTTCTGAAGTTCGTGTACCCCTAACCGCATGACAGTGATTGTGGTGTTTCTTTTCTCTGACTCGTGGGGCGCTTTTTCGATGGCGTGTGGCTCGTGCGCTCCTAGCGCTCAATTGCGGCGGCCCCCGGGGTATCGCCGGCGCATCTTCAACACCCCCGAGCTCCGCCGCAACAGCAACCCAGACGTCATTGCATATCCCATTTTCATTTCTGTAGCGTTCCAGCGATCAGTAGTAGCATATCCTCATAATGATGTCCTCAGCGAACGAGGAGGATCCATTCCTCCAGGTTCAAGCGTAAGCATCTCCGGCTGGCTGTAGGCAGCTCAATTGACACATGTCAGAGACGTTCTCTCAGCACTCAACACATCGCGTCCACTATTCAAGTCCTACCTGCGTATTCGATCCTCAGCGTCTTCCGCAAACAGTCCAGAGCTCCGAGAAGCCCGCCAGGAGCTCGAACAGACCCTCCAAGACCTCAGCCAAGACCTCGAGGACCTCGTCGAAAGCGTCAAAGCCGTCGAACATGACCCCTACAAGTTTGGTCTTGAGATCGACGAGGTGGAGCGCCGCAGGAGACTGGTGAAGGAGGTGGGCGACGAGATCGAGAACATGCACGAGGCGCTGCAGCAGACAGTGCAGGACGCGCAGAAGAAGGGCAACATGCTGCCGGACCCTGACTCGTTTGAGCAGGATGAAGACAACTATGCGCAGTTCGAGCAAGAGCAGCAGATGCAGATCATGCATGACCAGGATGAAGCTCTTGACGGCGTCTTTCGCACTGTTGGCAACCTGCGCATGCAAGCTGACGATATGGGTCGCGAACTAGAAGAGCAGGGCGAGATGCTGAAAGACGTTGATACAGTAGCCGACAGAGTGGGTGGCAAGCTGCAGACGGGTATGAAGAAGGTCGGCTTCATCATCAGGAAGAACGAGGGTAGGTGCTTCCAATGCTTTGCGTTGAACTCTGCTGACTTTGCTCTCGAAGACAAGTGGTCGAGCTGCTGCATTGCGGTTCTTGTCTTCGTCCTGATCCTACTTCTGGTGTTGCTCCTCATACTTTGAGCACTTTGTGACCGGGTACACATCAACATCGACCGTTCGCTGCACTAGGACCTGCAGATGCGTCACATCGAGCCCGGATCTACCCTGTCCATTGACATGCGTCACCGAAGCCTAGTCTTGAACGGTACCAGGATTTCAGTGCCTATGGTAACTGTCTCGGACATTTATTGGCACTGTCAACGTGCCTGAGTGCAGTCGGGACACCTACTAGGGGGATGTGCTTGCCATAGCACAGCGCAGTTAGCCCGTCGTCTGGGCCGCGACTTCCACAATGAACCCCAAACCCCGCCACCTGCGCAAGCACGAGGTCAAACGCGACTGACAACGATTCACCATATGGTTCGATGAGGAGTTAGCGCGTTGGTAAAGAGGCAGTCACGTCCCCCGCCCAACAACATTCCTTCATGGTTACACGAGCATCCCACCTCGCAATTTGCCAGATCATCGCTTCACAATCCTTTGGAATGCAGATAGCGCTATCCTAGTGGTTTTACCGCCGCATGGCTATTGTCACGGTTACCGAAACATTGTCGATCTGACAGCTGCAAAGCTGCATCAACTCAGTTTCTTCTACACTGCGCCCTTTTGAGCATCTTTGTTCTGCTGTCAACATTCAGTCCACGACTATACCATACGATTCAACGGTCACTTCACGTCACCCCTACTTCGGTTACGATATGCTCTCACCATCGACAGCCCCCTGAGTCTTATGCAAATTCGTTTGCGACACTGACGTTGCATCGAGAGTTTTAGAGGCGATCCTTCGAGTTACACCCATGGCAAGACTGAATCGCCTCAGTCGCATACGCGCCAAGTCATCTCAAGAGCCTGCTGCAACCGAACCAAAGCTAGTCGCCATTAAGAGCAGCACCCAAGCACCTCATCGGCGGCTCAGCTTACTCGCAATAACAATCATTCTGAACACACTACTCTGGAGTTCCATCCTCTGCTCCATCATCGCTTTCTTCCAGATCGCGTCCGATTCTAAAGACGGTTCGAACATATTACCAGGCGCATTGACACTCGTTTCGGTAAGCAGCATTGCGTATTCCTTCAAAGATCTTTCACTGACTGAACTCAGGCTATTGTGACGATAACATATACGATCGTACATACAACATACTCCGCCAAGCAGAGAGCTTTAACATATCAACAACCAGATGCTACCACCATCAAGAAGACGACGTACATCGCCAATCGTTTGGTGGTCTCGTTATGCGTCTTGTGGCTGTTGACTGCAGGATGGAATATGATTCTGGTAGCTAGGAGGCCTAGCTGCCTGCCCAACCAGCTTGATGGCCAGAGCTGGGAGGCGGGCATTACTTGCCTTTTCGGTCGTGTGGGCATGTCTCTCGCTATGATCGCACTGTAAATAACCGTTGGAACCTCAACTTACAACTCATAGCTGACATTGATGTGCAGTGTCGCTTCCTTGACATTGTTTGGAATGATGGCTGCTGTGCGGCGTCCTTTCGAAGCCCACCTCTTCGCATGTGGTCAACGCCAACCAAACAACTCTGAACTTACATCGCCCGCGTCTAGAGGGTTATCCGAAGACCATGCTGCGACTGGAAAGCTGGTCCCTGAGAGCGGAATGTCTGCTTATAACCACCAAAGGAGTACATCAACCTTCACGAACGCGGATGTCGACACCTTGGGTTTGAATGCCAGCAGCCGCCCAGCTTCGATCGTCCAGTCGCCCTCACCAACACGCGACCGAGTTGGGGTCTTTACCTCGCTTTTTGCTCCACTACCTCTACCTCCCGCTTTCATGATCTCAGTGGAGAGTCCATCGCTTCAATCTCAGTCACCTGCTTCGGATCCATTCGCAGACGGCCGTCGCCTGTCACTCACACCTTGCACCGATGCGCTGCTCACTTCCGCAGCATATGTACCATACTCTATACCCATCAAGTTCTCCGCATCTGCCCAACGCGCCGTCTACCCAGATGCCGCAGCCCCCTACCGCTCCATAAGCACATCTCGCTCGCAACCGCACCCGCACCCGCGCAGCATGAGCAGCTTCTCCAACCGGCACTGCTACGCGCGCTCTTCCGTCTCGCTCTCACGCCCGCACCGCCTCAGCTCCCTGACACCAGTACCACATCTGGAGTGCAGCTCGCGCAGCGACACTTTGAATTCGTTTAGCGCATCTCCGGGACAGGCGAGAGTCCAAACTCCAAGTCCGGCACGTCGAGCACGGATAAGAGAGCGAGCGCTACGGAGATCGTTTACGCCATCGCAAACAACACGCCCATCCCCGGCACCGACAAACCAAGCCCCCGCAAACACTGGCGCACCATCAGCGCACCAGACGCCGTCGCCGGCGCACAGCAGGCACACCCAGGTGAACGCATGGCTATGGGCTGGGAGCCCGAATTATCCAAGCCCTCGACTGTGCTGAGGAAACCGCTCCCTATCAATCTGAACAAACTCGTGCACTCTGCGTCTGCTGAGTCGCTGGATCGCTTTGGCCCCGTGTTCGCTACCGATGCAGCGGAGATGAAGTGGAAAAGGGATTTTGAGATTGAGATCGAGATCGAGAATCGGTCGAATGACTTGCATGTACTCCAATTCCCTGGAACGGAGCCGAAGACCGGGAGGAAGAGTATTAGTACATATACGGATACGCCGAGAGAGTCTTATGATGCAGATAGTTTGGAGGACGAGACCAGGTTTGAGGATGCAAAGGAGGTTCTGAGCACGAGACCGGTGAGTCGGGAGATAGCGTTCATATAGACGTAGTGCAGACACCGTTCAAAGTCTACGTGATTGCTTAGTAGAACATCAATCACATATGCTGAGCTCAAGTTGAAATGGCTTGATCGTTAATGTGTACTCGTTTGTGCAGAGGTACTGGCGCTATGAAACATCTAGGACTGAGCGTCTGTTAAGCAAAGAAATGAGGCATAAGGATTGATTATGTGATGGACTATGTAGCCGGTAGAAGCAGTATATGTGAGGTGGCTTGGGGTCACCTGACCCGGCCATATTCCGGCTTTCAACAGCGTCTAGGAGCGTCTAGCACATGCCCGTCAACACCGCCATGTCAGCAACATAATCAACCCCCTCAACTTTATCCTCCTCAAGCAACTTGTCAATCACGCTCTTCTTCTTGATCCGCCAGAATGCCTGCGCGCCGTCCGCAAACCTCTTACTAATTGGCTTTACGTCCTCGACCGGACACGCTGCGAAACACAGCCTCATGCAGTTATACGCATCCTTCTCCTTGATCTCCTGCGTGGGCGCGAACATGCTGCCCGGCGCGACGAGGCACATATACGGCTTCTGCGTCCAGAACACCCACAATGCCTGCGAGAGACGGGAGTGAGGGACTGAGTCCGCGAGTGGGTGCGTGGTAAAGTCGAAGCGCACCCACACGAACATGCCACCGAGTGGCCGCACGAACGAGTAAATCTGCGTCTTCTCGACCACAGCCCACTCGTCATCAGAGTCGGCGACAAAACTCAACGACCGCCGACGTCCGGCCTTTACGATCTCACGCCCGGAATCGAGCGCGTCGCACATGGTCTGCATCCGCCTCTCGTAGTTCCCGCGCAGGCCCTCGAGCCAGCGCACCCACCCGTCGACCTTCCAGCCACCCCCGTCTGGGGCGCCGCCGCGGCCTGCATCATTTGAGTTGTTCGGCCCCATGAGCAGTTCTGCGATCATGGACTGCACGAAGCCCGAGGGCTGCTGCGTGGACGTCTCGGTGATGCGGAGGATGCGCTCTGCAAGCGCGGGCTGGGTGGTTATCCAGCCTAGACGGCAGCCCGGCGCGACGGTTTTGGAGAACGTGTCCAGACGTACGACGCGGCCTTGGTAGTCGACGCTGAGGTAGGAGGGGGTCAGGGAGTCGAGGAATTCGAAGCCTGAACTCTTCTTCGGCTTGGTGACGGCGACGCCGGGCGACGAGGACGGGAACTGGAGGTACCAGTACGGGTCGTCCTCGATGATGACGATGTCGTATTTGACGCAGATGGCGTAGATTTCTGTGCGGCGCGCGACGGAGAGCGTGCCGGAGGTGGGGTTCTGGCCGATGGTGATGGTGTAGAGGAGGTGTGGGCGCCGGCCTTTGGAGAAGTCCCAGTTCGCCATGACGTCCTCGAGGCCGCCCGGGCCGCTGGCTAGCATGCCCTCGTTGTCGATCTTGACGGGCGCGATGTTTAGACCGCGCGGCCGGGCGGTCTGGATGGCGTTCATGTAGGCGTATTCTTCGCATAGCAGCCCTGGCCTCTCGTTGATGGCATCTCGCTCTGCGAACCATTCCTCGCTGAGGGCTTGTATGGTCTTCGAGAAGCCATCTGTCGAACCGCATGTGAGGATGACTTCAGGTCCGTTCTTGTATGGGACGAACGGGTGCAAGTTCTCCCGTGTGAACTGGCGGATGAAGTAGTAGAGCGGCGGGTATCCCTGGGCCTGTCCATACTGCAGCGCAGACATCAAGTCGATTTTGTGCAGCGGATCAGGCGTGTGCGAGTCGTGGGGCACAAGCAGGCGCGCCGCTGGTGGCTCGTCATGTTTACCATTACCCTTGCCGTTCGAGACAGTCAGTTCCTCCAGGCGTGCGGTGGGAGGATCGTCGGCGGGCGGGTCGATGAGCTTGTTGGGCGTGGGCTTCCATCGGTTTGGGTGAGAGACTCTGGCTTCGAGGGTATCGTAGGGGAAGTACTTGTCATTTGGTAGCCCTGACAGCTGTCAGCCAGAAACGTTGGATAAATCACTATCTGCTCACCTCCTGCTAGTTGGGCAATGCCTGGAAGGGAAAAGTACTTGTAGAAACCCTTGACACTTGACGCCTTGCGCGCCTTTGTGCTACGCGACAAGTGATGGGAGAGATCGATAGGCTCAGGGAAGCTCTCTGGGTCGGACGTGTAGTAAGCCATGGCGATCACACTAGGCACGGGATGGCAAGCTTCAGGAAAGTCAAATTGCTCGTGATTCACCACAGCAACTGATGTCTAGGAGGTGGATACAGTGCAACTCCAGCAAAGAGAATTGACCTCGTCCGCGACCGTTGTCCGTAAACGTTAGCTGCGGGACGATACGGTGCGCTGATTAGAAAGCATTGAACAAAGTGACGACATCCTGGGCGAAGACAACGACATACAGCTAGTCTGCGACAAGCCGCGTGCACCTGCTGGAAGCGGAGGTCGTATCGACAGATCAACAATACCTTCAACAACCGAGTTTGAAGTCTAAAAGTGCCTTGCTTCCCATGATTGACGCGTTCTTGATGGCACTCGGCACTTGTAAGATAAGGCTGACTTAGCGCGCCATGGAGCCGGCAACGTGCCACGCCGGCTGGGCTAACTGCACGCCGAAGTGTGAGCCTCAAGCTTCCGGAGCTTCCAGTACTCTCCCTTCCTCAACATCTTGGATCTTTGAAAGTCTCTTGAGCTTCTGGTATCCTTTCTCTTTCATTGTCACGTCTCGTCATTTTCTAGTGCTCATCAACACCAAACCTCGAAGCTCATTCCCGCGGACTTCCTATCGATAAGCAGCACCACCAGGCTCAAGCTGTCGTCGTCAACCTCCCGCCACGAGCTTCGGTCGCTCCCGGACATGAGTCCAGAGCGGCATGTAGACGACCAGGGCGTACCTCCTCGAGTCTATCGCGACGACGGGCTGATCAACATCGATCCTGAGGAAGCTGTAGTCATTGACCCTGCCGAAGCTTCCGATGAGGACGAGTACCTGCCGCAAGAGCCGCATCATGCCAGCAAACACCCACCGCCATGGTTGCAGCATGCTTGGATATCTGTGAAGACTTGGGTGAAGGGGCCGCAGCCTCGGCGACCTTGGAAGATTCATCCATTCCTACCCAAGGTTCAGACCGCGCCAATACGGCTTATAGACACCTTCTTCCCCAAGAGGAAGCATAAGGTGGGGCTGTTGATTGTGTTCTACGCTGCTTGGATCCTCGGTTTCGCATTGGTTTTGCACAGAAGCGCCTTCTCAGCAGATGTACCAGGCTACGGAGCTCCCGTGAGAATCGGCTGCACTCAACGCTTCTGGAACAACGGTAATGGATGCGGCCTTAATGGGGACTCCTGTCGCCCATTCGAGAACGCATCAATGCCATTCAGATGCCCCGCGAACTGTAAGCGTGTCCAGCTGCTGAATCCGCACGCTGTAGGCGACTACGTCGCAAACTACCGTCAACTCGTCATTGGCGGTCCCACCGACGACGACGAGACATTAGAGAACATCTACTACCGCGCCGACTCCTTCATCTGCGGCGCGGCGATTCACGCGGGCTTCATCAACGATGCGTCAGGTGGTTGCGGCGTCGTCTCTATGGTCGGCGAGAAGACATCCTACCCAAGCGTGGACCGCAAACACATCAGCTCCATCGGCTTCGACTCGTACTTCCCGAAATCCTTCTCTTTCCTCCCCGGCACGTCCTCTCCGTGCCGCGACCTGCGCTGGCCCCTCCTCGGCGTGAGCTTGACATTCACGATCCTGCTCTCCCTGTTCACAACCGCGCCTACCGTATTCTTTCCCTCCATCTTCCTAGGTATATTCTTCCATGTCGCACTCGCCTCTGACCCGCCCTCGCTGACCGACTACTACGCCCTGATATCCATCTGCCTTGGCCGTCTCCTACCAGCCAGCTTCTGCATGTACGCCGTATACCGCTTCGCCGTGTCCAGGACCCTTCACGACCTCGACGCGCAATTCGAAAAGACGATCCTCTGGCTGGGAGGATGCTGGGTCGGCGCTTTGAACAACTACACGTTCGACAAGATCCCGATTGAGCGTCTCACACCGCATGATCTGCAAAACCAGCCCGGCGCCGTGCCCGCGCTCATCATCGTCGTGCTGTGTCTCTTCAGCATCGCGCTGCTGCAAGCGTGGTGTCTGCGCATCGAAGGCCGGCTTCCGAAGTATCTAGGCATCTATGGGATCTTCGTCGGCTCTCTCCTACTCCTCGTCGCAATTCCTAAAATGAATGTGCGCATCCATCACTATATCCTCGGGCTGCTACTTGTCCCGGGAACGAGCATGCAGACCCGGCCTTCCCTGCTGTTTCAAGGTATTCTAGTCGGGCTGTTCATCAACGGGGTTGCGCGCTGGGGCTTTGACTCTATTTTGCAGACACCAGGAGAACTAAGGGGTGATGGACCGATTAGCAGTCTTCTGCCAATCATAACAGCTCCAATCATACACAACAACTTGCATTCGCACTTCAAAGCGAACATTACGTTCGAATGGACGCTGCCATTTCCGAAACACTACGATGGTCTTAGCATTCTGGTCAACGATGTCGAAAGATATAGAGGCTACGCAGACAGTGGGCTGGAAAGCTGGACGTGGGTCAGGCATATGAAGGATGTGCCTGAGTACTTCCGCTTCGCATACCTCAACGGTGGCGGGCGTGGGGATTATACCAAAGCCGGCACTTGGAGCATTGAAGGAGGCTGGATCCAGATGGCATCCGGACCATCTTAGACTGGTGCACTAAAAGGGTAGAGTTGGTTTGGATAGACAATCAAAGCATCCGTAGAGGTTCCACCTATCAAGACTGTGCGTTGTAACAATCGTCCGCCTCAGCCACCAACCGTCCTAGTGCGGGGTCTTCGTTAAGACTTGCTTACCGCGACGATTTGCTGACAAACTTCCGACTTCTGACTTCTGTGACTGTGTTACACTACAATATCATGTTGCAATGATGGTTGGTTATCACACAATGGTACTAACAGAGGCTGACATAGCGAATGGTCCGGTTCATGCCAACGGACTTAACACGAACCAGCTCCAGACCTCGGAGATACCCACTTTGATGGTGACGTTTCCAGGGTCGATTATGGAGTTGACCACTACAGTATTATGGTGCTGACCACCACAGTATTGCGGCAGCTTTCTACCCCACTCTATGCAGTGAGCATGAGTAATTGAGGTACTGGCTCGGGGATAGTGCAACTGACACTCCGACTGGGACGTGCCGATCATGGCGGGTTATAAGTATGGAGGCCGTCTCGTCGCTGTCAAAGTATCTCTACACCTACTGGACAACTACAGACCAACGACATAACCTGCAGACCGAAAACCCTTCACAAGCATCGACCTTACTTAGCGCCACCGTAACACCTTCATCATGGTTAAGGCAGTATTCGGAGGTGGTTCCTTCATAGAAGATGGCACCCTAGTCAGCTTCAACACCACAGATAAGGTCGCCGAGGCCATAGAGGTCCTGCTCGCATCAGGCGTTACCACAATCGACACTGCCCGCATCTACCCTGGCTCGGAAGCCGCCATCGGCAAACAAGAGAAGCGCACGCAGTTCGACATCGACACCAAGATCCCTGGCGGCCTTGAGCCAGACACAGCAAACAAGGACACCATCGTCGAGCACGTAAAAGAAGCTCTCCAGAAAGTCAACATCAAGCAGTTCGATATCCTCTACATCCACTGTCCCGACCCAGACATCCCCCTTGCCGACACACTTGCCGGTATCAATGAAGCGCACAAGCAAGGCTTCTTCAAGCGCTTCGGGCTAAGCAACTACGCACCGCAGGACGTTCAGCGCGTGTACGACTTGGCGAAGGAGAAGGGCTACCCGCTTCCCGAAGTCTACCAGGGCAACTACAACCCCGTCGCGCGCCACCTGGAGAAGGACCTCTTCCCCGTGCTGCGCGAGCTCGGCATCATCTTCTACGCTTACTCGCCCCTCGCCGGCGGTTTCCTTACCAAATCCGCCGCCGACCTTGACGCGGGTGCTGGTCGCTTCAACGATGAAGCGCTCGGTGGTATGTACAGCGGCATGTACGACAAGCCTGCTCTGCGCGAGGGGTTGAAGGAGTGGAGCAAGATTGCTGAGAAGGAGGGGCTTAGTAAGGCGGAGTTGGCGTATAAGTGGGTTGCGCATCACTCTGCGCTGACAGAGGGTGATGGTGTAATCTTTGGCGCGAGCAAGTTGAGCCAGATCGAGCAGACAGCTGCTAATATTAAGAATGGCAAGCTGAGCGACGAGGCGGTGAAGAGTATCGATCATTTGTGGGAGACTGTCAAGGCGGAGGCGCCGGTGGATAACTATATTTGGTTCAAGGGGAGTAAGGCGTAGATAACGTCCCTCCCTGCGTGGCGAGAAACCCTACGTAGCGAAATGTCACTCCTGTCTTCCATCATAACAACGCCAATAATCACCTTTAGATGCAGATAATCTTGGAATAGAGACCTTAGACACTAAACCTTGCTCACACTCCATTTCTCCTACAGACCCCTCCTGCTGCGCCAGCAATACCACTTTTCATCACTGGCATACCCAGCAGTGTCACTCCGGCAGCCTCGGACCTAGCTGAAAGCTTGCACAAGCCGTCCAAAAACTCGTCAAACAATAGACAGACATCAGAAGATCATATGCCGAGCGAGGCACTCAGACACCCGAGCTTTTTGTGCTGCAGTGGTAATCTGGAGCCCTACCAGGCGAGGGTTGACAACCGAGCGCCCTACTTCTTGGCTGTATGGAAAAGACAGAAACAGCATAGCCGTATTATAGAGAAGCGGCTCGGACCGGGCCGTGTATCAAAGCTTGTTGTTAGCATGACTCGCTCAAAGCTTGAATCCGCGCCTGCATTGTTTTTAGTGTCCCGTAGGCGCTCTTGTTTCGCTGAACACATGCTAACAAGGGTAGACAGGTTACTTGCAGGACCATTTCTGCTTTACAGTATGTTGTATTATGTGGCACGTTCACTTGTTATTCCCTCATCTCCTATCGTGCTTCGAGCTACTGATCCTTAGCTTTGCCAGCCCACGTGAGAGCCTTGAGACCTTGCCAGTGTGCGCGCTTGCGCTATTGTCTAGCGCAGCTGGAGAGAAGACAACCTTGGACTGCTCTTGCGACGCAAGCGCCTCGGAACGGTGTTGGCGACATGCTTAGGTAATTGGATGGTCCTCTCCAAGGACGACACTGTACCCGGCGCATGCTCTATCGTACAAAGCGAGAGATTCGTTGTAGCAGCCCCGGTTCGCCAGGATGCTCACGCCCCAGCACCTTCTCACTTATTACCAGCGTCTGCCTGTGCATCGCTTCCGCCTCCTCATACTTGCCCTGGCTGTCCAGCACTCCCGCCAGGTTGTTCATGCTCGTCAGCGTGTCGGGATGCTCACGCCCCAGCACCTTCTCGCTTGTCGCCAGCGTCTGCCTGTGCATCGCTTCTGCCTCCTCGTACTTGCCCTGCCTTCTCAGCACTTCCGCCAGGTTGTTCATGCTCGTCAGCGT